CCATAGGCAAAGTATCCAGCAGGCAAAACAATACAGCAGTATCCCAACAGCACTCCCAATAACTGGACGACACACAGTATCAGGAGCAGAACTAAACCTTTATTCCTACAGTGGCCTTATAAAGCATGCTCCCATGCAAGGGAGGGATTTCCATTAATCAGTACAGTAGCCAATCCTGTTCTGGTAACCTCCCACACATCTCCTCCCCTCTGTCAGGATTACTGTTTGATCCAGCACGTAGAACTGTACAGCACGGATGACAAATAAGTAACGTATTACCGGTCCTTAGAATGGCCGGATTTAATGTACAAAGAATAGTCAAAAATACTAGCCGAGGTCAGGGAACACAGAAAGGGACACAGCGATGAGGAAAGCCAGGAGTCAGGATACCAGAATATAGAGAAGTCAATAAACAAAGCCAAAGTCAAAAACCAGGTAGAAAACTATAAACAGGAACGCGCTCTCAGACAACCACAAGGGAAACCACGACAGGGCACTGAGCAGGCTGAGAACTGGGCCTAAATACCCCTCCTTTAGTTCTGATAGGCTGTAACCGGCCTTTGACCCCAAAGTCAGTTACCAGGTTTCATTTGCATAATTGCTGCTCAGCATTAACCCTTCTGTGGATTAGGTTGCTGCTCGGCACAACTTTTCCTGTGTGGACAGTAAATGTCATTAACCACATTTCTATAAGCGGATGAATATGTGACATTACCCCCACCTGAAGAACGCCCACCGGGCGGACAGGACCAGGCTTGAGAGGAAATTTAGCGTGAAAAGCGCGGATCTTACGGCCCGCATGCAGGTCAGGAGCCGAAACCCAAGAACGATCAGCAGGACCGTAACCTTTCCAAACAACCAAGTACTGTAAAGTGCCCCGAGAAAACCTAGAATCCACGATAGAAGATACCTCATACTCTTCCTGACCACCCACCACCACCGGAGGGGGAGGAACACAAGGAACAGTATATCTATTGCAGACAAGAGGTTTGAGTAAGGACACATGAAAAGTGTTGGGAATCCCTAAAGATGCAGGAAGAGCCAGAGAGTAAGACACTGGATTGATCCTACGAAGCACTCTATAGGGACCAAGGAATCTGGGGGCAAACTTCATGCTAGGGACCTTAAGCTTGATGTTGCGAGATGACAACCAAACCCGGTCCCCCACTTGGTACACCGGGTTGGCACTCCTACGCTTATCAGCAAAATGTTTGAAGCGTTCAGCAGCAGCCCCTAGAGCAGTTTGAACCTTAACCCAGGTATCCCGAATGGAGGCCAGACGCTCATCCAGAGCAGGAATGGCAGTATCAGAAAATACCGCAGGGAGAACCGTAGGATGCCTACCATTATTGACAAAAAATGGACTGTGCCCAGAGGAGTCATGAACAGCATTGTTTCTAGCGAACTCGGCCCACGGGAGTAGTTCGGACCAATTGTCTTGTGTGCTATTAATAAAACAACGCAAATAAACTTCTAATGACTGGTTAGCCCTCTCAGCTGTACCATTGGTCTGTGGATGGTAGGAGGAGGAGAAGGAGAGATCAATCCCCAATTGTTTACTGAACGCCCTCCAGAACCTGGACACAAACTGAGAGCCCCTATCAGACACAATATTGTGGGGGATGCCATGCAAACGGACAATTTCACGTATGAAAATTAGGACCAAATCTTGCGAAGATGGCAACTTCTTGAGAGGAATGAAGTGAGCCATCTTAGAAAATCGATCTACAACCATGAGAATAGTAGTGAACCCAGCAGAGCTAGGAAGCTCAACAATAAAGTCCATGGATAGGTGGGACCATGGAATCTCAGGAACAGGAAGAGGCTGCAACAGGCCACAAGGAAGTGCATGAGTCACCTTAGAAACTGCACACACAGAACATGCCTGCACATACTCCTTTACATCTTTCCTGAGTGAATCCCACCAAAATGATCTAGTGATCGCGGCAGTGGACTTATTGATGCCCGGGTGTCCAGCAGTTATATTGTCATGGAACACTTTCATGATATTAACCCTTTCACATAGGGGAACGAACAGTTTATCACATGGTTTACCACTGGGCGCTGAGGCTGGGCCTCCAGTATGGTGCCAAGCAGTGGAGAAGACAGTGAGAGGACAGTAGTAGCAATAATACACTCTGGTGGAATAATAGGAGATGTCATCTGTTCCGGAGCTGACTCATTATCAAATTGCCTGGACAAGGCATCAGCCTTGGTATTTTTAGAACCAGGTCTATAAGTAATGAGAAAGTTAAAACGTGAAAGGAACAGTGACCATCTAGCCTGTCTGGAAGACAAACGTTTGGCATCCCCTATATATGCCAGATTTTTGTGGTCGGTTATGATCAACAGGGGGTCCTTGGAACCCTCCAAAAGATGTCGCCACTCCTTGAGGGCAAGAATAATGGCCAACAGTTCTCTATTGCCAATATCATAGTTGCGCTCAGCAGGAGACATCTTTCTGGAGAAGTAGCCACAAGGATGCAATGGTGTTCCCTGGCTTTCTCTCTGAGAGAGAACAGCCCCTACCCCTGTCTCGGATGCATCAACCTCCAATATAAAAGGTTTACTGGTGTCAGGATGTTTTAGTATGTCCGCAGAGGCAAATCTTTGTTTAAGAGTCTCAAAAGCATTCACAGCCTCTTTGGACCATACCGTGCTACTAACCCCTTTGCGAGTCATATTTGTGATTGGGGCTATTACAGAAGAAAATCCCTTGATGAATCTTCTGTAATAGTTGGCAAAACCAATAAACCTTTGAATGGCTTTTAAACCAGAGGGTAATGGCCAGTGTAGTACAGCCTCTAGTTTTTTAGGATCCATTTGAAATCCCGATGCAGAGATGTTGTAACCCAAAAAGTGGACTTCAGGCTGGTCAAATATGCACTTTTCTAATTTACAATAAAGTTTATTTTTCAACAACGTCTGCAGAACCTGTTTCACATGGGAGTGGTGAGTTTGAAGATCAGGGGAATACACCAAAATATCGTCCAAATAAACCAAGACAAATGAGTAAATGAATTCCCTGAGTACATCATTTATAAAGTCTTGGAATACGGCCGGGGCGTTGCATAACCCAAATGGCATTACCAGATATTCATAGTGTCCACTACGGGTATTAAATGCCGTCTTCCACTCATGATTCTCTTTAATTCTAACCAAATTGTAAGCGCTCCTAAGGTCAAGCTTAGTAAATACTTTAGCTCCCTGAAGTCTATCGAACAATTCGGAAATGAGTGGAATAGGGTATGCATTTTTTACAGTGATTTTATTAAGTGCCCTGTAGTCTATGCAAGGGCGTAACTCACCACCCTTTTTCTCAACAAAAAAGAATCCTGCACCAGCTGGTGAGGATGACTTTCTTATGTGCCCTTTGCTCAAGGATTCTTTGATGTATTCCTCCATTATTTTACTCTCCTGGGGAGATAAGGCATAAACTGCCCCCTTAGGTGGCATAGCGCCTGGAAACAGGTTAATGGCACAGTCATATGCTCTGTGGGGAGGCAATACATCGGATTGAGCCTTGTTAAACACCTCCTGAAGTTCTCGGTATTGTATGGGAACTCCAGGAGTTTGGGGAGTGGTAGTGGGAAGGTCAATAGTATCCAATCTCTTTAGTACTGGTTTTATACATCTCCCCATACACTCTTTACCCCATTCTAATATCTCCCCATTAGCCCAGTCAATATAGGGATTGTGCTTACTCAGCCACGGAAACCCTAATATGATAGGACATGATGGAGAAGTAATAACCTGAAACGTCATCTCCTCCCTATGGGAGGCCCCAATGGAGATCGTAATAGGGACAGTTTCGTGGGTTATAAGCGGTTGTGTGAGTGGTCTACCATCAATAGCCTCTACAGCTAGCGGCGTAGGTCTCTCCCTGACCGGTATCTCATTACCCCTAATAAACTGGACATCAATAAAATTTCCAGCAGCACCTGAGTCCATTAGGGCACTGCAAGAAAACTTCTTGTTATCAAGGGAAATAGATACCTCAAGGAGGAATCTACTTTTGTTTTTGTTAGAGGACAACTCCATCACACCTAAGATCTGTCCCCTTAAGGTTCTTAGGTGCGGAAGTTTTCCGGACGCACTGGACAATTAGTTATCATATGTCCCTTTCTACCGCAATATAGGCATAACCCCTCCCTTCTCCTATACTGTTTTTCGGCCTCTGACAGTCTAGTGACCCCCAACTGCATAGGTTCGGGTTCGGACTGTACAGGGAGGTTAGACAAAACAGGTTTAGAGAATTGAGGTGCTAGGGACATAGCCGTACGTCTGGTCTTGCTTCTGGTGACTTCTCTGAGTCTTAACCTATTATCAATATGCATGACAAACGTAATAAATTCGTTAAGACTTTTAGGTAATTCTTTAGCGGCTTTCTCATCTAGTATAGTCTCTGAGAGACCCTTTTTGAATGCTGAGATTAACCCATTGTTAGTCCAGTCTACCTCGGAAGCTTTTTTGAATGCTGAGATTAACCCATTGTTAGTCCAGTCTACCTCGGAAGCTAAGGTACGGAATTCAATAGCATAATCCGAGATAGACCGGTTACCTTGTCTGATGTGCATTAGGGCAGTGGAGGCGTCATCCTCTCTACCCAATGGCTCAAACGTGAGCTTGAATTCGGCAAGGAATTCCTGGTAATTATGAGCTATGCTCCGATTACTCTCCCACAACGGATTAGCCCAGGCAAGGGCCTTGCCCTTTAATTGATTCATTAGATAACCAATTCTTGCTCTGTCCGTGGGGAATGACCCTGGTGAGGCCTCAAAATGGTACTCCACCTGATTAAGAAAACCCCTGCATTCCTGGATATTGCCATCAAACTGTAGGGATGGTGATAAGGAGATGCAAGGAGTCCTATTAACAGTGGGTGGAGGTACACAGGGTAGAGGTGCTATAGGAGGAGACGCTGCAGGCTGCAGATGCTCCGTTCTAGCGAGAAGCGTACTTAAAGCCTGAGTGAATTGATCCATGCGGTGATCATTCTCCTCTAATTTCCTCTCGCAAGCAGCTATGTGCTGACACAGTTCTACAGGATCTATGGCCCTGTCGTAATGTCAGGATTACTGTTTGATCCAGCACGGATGACAAATAAGTAACGTATTACCGGTCCTTAGAATGGCCGGATTTAACGTACAAAGAATAGTCAAAAATACTAGCCGAGGTCAGGGAACACAGAAAGGGACACAGCGATGAGGAAAGCCAGGAGTCAGGATACCAGAATATAGAGAAGTCAATAAACAAAGCCAAAGTCAAAAACCAGGTAGAAAACTATAAACAGGAACGCGCTCTCAGACAACCACAAGGGAAACCACGACAGGGCACTGAGCAGGCTGAGAACTGGGCCTAAATACCCCTCCTTTAGTTCTGATAGGCTGTAACCGGCCTTTGACCCCAAAGTCAGTTACCAGGTTTCATTTGCATAATTGCTGCTCAGCATTAACCCTTCTGTGGATTAGGTTGCTGCTTGGCACAACTTTTCCTGTGTGGACAGTAAATGTCATTAACCACATTTCTATAAGCGGATGAATATGTGACACCCTCAGCCTGACTCATAATCCCCTTATCCAGGACACCAATTCCCCCCGTTTCTGGATGTACTCCTAAACCTAGGGGTACCTCTTTAAATGATACATCCCCTGGTAGCCCTGATCTGGGTGAACAACATATCCAAAAATCACCCAGATCAGACCAGGGGTTCAGGAAATTTATGGAGGGAATAAAAAGACCGACCGTGCTGGAGGCAACAGCCGAATTGGGTTCCATGCGATGGGGCCCTGCGGTCGGTCCTGGCATAAGGGAAAAAATTGCACGAAAGCCTCCAGTTACAGAGACCAGGGAAGGTTCGCCTGAATCCCCTCGTTCGGTTGTTTCTGTCTACCGAACGAGGGGCCGTTCGGTAGTTTGGAAGCGAACGGACCGGGCTTGTGGAGGTCTCAGCGGTGTTCGCCTAGTCGAGTGTCCGATTTGGGTTCCAGACACTCGACGGCAAAACACCGCTGTTCGGGAGTTTTAAAATGGCCGCCGCCACGTGTTCGTTTCCCGAATGGCGGCCACCCCCGAGAACAAAGGACTTACTGCCCAGCTTGTCAATTACCCGTTCGCAACGATGTTGCAACGGGTAATTGAAGGCACACTTCACACCGGGGAGGCCTGACTGTTCAGTAGTTTCATTCCCTTAGTTGTTAGAATGATTCTACTGAACAATCAGACGAATACAACACATTTTCTACCCATATAACCTGCCATTTACACGAATACAGTTACAACCTTTGCAATTCCCAGGACAGCCCAGTGCCATCCGCTACATGAATTATCCCCGTTTGTCACATCATTGACAGCGCGGAGGTCTTGAACCATACGGTATTGGTCTGGTTGTCCCTTTTCAGTTTTCTTTTTCACTGGAAACAGAGGAGTGTTACAAATTGATTCACATTTGACAAGGGCACCTTTTGCTAACAGGCTTTCAACTTGTTTGGAGATGGTAAGGGCCTGAGCAGGTTTCAAGGGGTATTGCGGCCTTCGTGATGGGTTTGCTCGTTCATATAGCTTCACAATCACTGCAGGAACTTATAGACATCCAATATCATCTGGGCCTCTGGACCAAAGATTGGCTGGGACCCTATCCAGGGCACTGTGGGGCATCTAGGACCCTCACTTTCTCACGGGGAGACTCCATGTGTAAAAGTAGAGGCAAAGAACAAAGAGCTGAGGTATCCTTACGAGAGAGAAGGGTTAATAACTGAATCTGACCATCAGCAGTTAAGGAGATAGAAGCCTGCAGGCGGGAGAGAACAACAGCACCTAACAGGTTAATAGGGCAGGTAGAAGAAACAACAAAACGTGTGAGAATGTCTGAGCGCACCAGTAAGAGCTTGGTTAGTGGGTTGTTTCGTGGAGTACCATCAACACCAACACATTAAAAACATCAATGTTAGACAAGAAAGAAGAGTCAGGCAGGTCTTGTTCTCTGAGAACACTGCGGGCTGCGCCTGTGTCAACTAAAAAGGTTGTTGGGTGACCTTCTATGGGTAGGACCACTGTGGCTAGGGGCTCCCCTTTATCCCCTGTAGACACTGCCAGGAGGACTGGCAGCATACCCATGAGGTGCAGGATGATTGGCAGCTGGTGGTGGTGGATAAGCAGCCTGGGGGTAATCCCGTGGAGGATAAGCGGCCTGGGGGTAAACTTGGGCCGCTGCAGGAGGGTGAGAAACCATAGGATAACCTGCCATGGGATGAGGTGTTCTTATAGCCTGCCACTGCTGCCTGGGCACCCTGGGATGTGGACAATCTTTCTTGAAGTGGCCAGGTTGGTTACAATTCAAACAGGTCCTGTTTTGAGGCCTTCAAGTCTGGGACATGGGTTGCTGGAGAAAGCGGGATTGCAGGATTATGGGAGGAAAACATCAGGGGAGCAGTTTTCCTTGGCTGGGGCAATTGAGCAGACTCCAGGCCTTTAACAACCAGGGGTATCTGTGGGGCCTGGGGGGGCGTGTTCTGTTGGAGCTTGTGGCCGGACAGTGGAAATGGGGGTTGGGTTAGCCCCTTTTTTGTCCTCATGCCAGAAGCCATCATAGGGCGGTGGCTGGAAAACATTTGGGGTAGAATCAACAGTACAAACATTTTCATGATATACATAAACTTTCTGTCCTTCAGTTTCCAATTCTTCCTCTAACCACCCTTCACGTTTAATTCATTTTGCAACACGATACCAAGCTTCTGCTGCCTTTGTCAATCCATTATCAAGCAACAATCCCTCTTTATCCTTCAACAATTTCCTCCAACTCTCTGGCTGTAGCCTGCCGCTGGGAGACAAAGAAATTCCACAGACCTTAGCAATCTTTCTCACCTTATTCATTGCCTCCTCCCCTGCCCTTTCTTTTACAATATCACAAGCTAACTGACCCTTAGCCGGTCTAGCATGCTCCTGTCCCATATTTCTCAATACACAAGTCATCACTTGAGAGAGAGATAGATGGAAACAGGAAAAAGAGTCTACAGTGCTCGACTGCCATGAGATGTGCGTCTTCCCTAAATGTAGACTAGTCACTGAAATCCGCCCACCAGAGGTGGTGGTCATGGATTGGAGCGAGGCGAGTAGTGTGTGACTAACACTGCTCTGGATTAAAGGTACAGTAGAGGAAAAAGAAGAAAGAGAAAGTGAAAGGGAAATGCCAATAAAAAACACTTGCAAGAATCACAAATAAAAAATATGTGCACATAGACATGAATCAAGGATGAACCATACAACCCACACAGATGCAAAATATATATACAATCAAACCACGAAACCCTTTTGCGTTCCTTACTGCCTCTCTCCCCTTTAAGCTATGGAGCAACAAGCAGAGAGAATGCCAGATAGCAGTGCTGAACAGGGAGGGGGGTTGGGGGTGAGCACAGTGAGCACACAGGGGAGGGGAAAGAGGGAGAGAGAAACACAGAGCAGTTGCAGGCACGAAGTTTAACTATATGAGTGCTGTAAAGTAACAAGACAGAAGGACAGAGATTTGCATGTTACATGTATTGCAAACAAAGAGACATATACAGGTGAAGGCACAATATACAGATGTAATTAAATCACAATCTCCTTAAAATAAATGCAAACAGAACACAAACCCCTTTAAGATACAAAGATAAACCACGCTATACACAATACAACCCCAACTAAGCAACTACCAGAATACAACAAAGAATAATAACATATCACGTGTAACAATAATTGAATCAGCAGTCTCTGTTCCCTCCGAACAAAGCAAGCAAATATAATCAGTTCCCTCCGAACTAAGCAAGCAAATATAATCAGTTCCCTCCGAACTAAGCAAGCAAATAAAATCAGTTCCCTCCGAACTAAGCAAACAAATATAATCAGTTCCCTCCGAACTAAGCAAACAATTAACCTGTTCCAGTTCCTTCCGAACGATAAAGCAAACAGTTAATCAGTTCCTGTTCCCTCAGAACGATAAAGCAAACAATTAACCAGTTCCCGTTCCCTCCGAAACGATAAAGCAAACATAAATCAATAAGCTAGGAAGTCAAATCAATAATATAACAATAAAATGCAAATAACTTATCTTAAATCCCCAAGCAAACACTTTCACACTCAGGATTCACACTCAGGAGGCAGATAGACAATCAACAGGTTCTTTTAAAGACACACTGGGCAAGAATGTTACCTGTCTTGATGCCTTCTGGGGGCCGGAGTGGACAAGGAGGCAGGCCAACACAAAAAAAGGAAATCTAGACAAAGTGCTAATATGCAATCATTACCGTATATATAGGAAGTGATCAATTTCCAGTCCCATCTATGTGGGTCCGTTCCGTCCTGATTACGGCCAGCCATCAGGCATAGCCGTGGTGCCCCACATTCGGGCGCCAAATTGTTAAGGACCAAACCAAGTGTTTGATCATTTTTGTATATCTGCCCCTGTCCAAATTATAAGATAAGTGTGCGCACGCTCCCAAGGTAATTCACACCAGACACAAGTTTAACGTTAATGAAAAACTTGAGGAATCTTTAATCCAGGGGGCCGGTATGCCCCTTATAAAGCAGAAATACATCATATGCATAATTATAGATAACAGAGAAAATACATAAATAATTGGTTAGGTGTTAAGAGAGTAAATAGGCACTTTACTAAAGTTAATATTCTGTCCACAACAATGTTTAGGATGATAAATGAAGCTACTGCTAAGAGTTCACTTCACTGCTGATCGTGAAGAAAAAATAAACAAATCACTGATAAAGCCAGTTACTTCACTGGTTAGAGGGTTACTTCAAACACCATAACCACTACAGTGATTTGAAGTAATCATGGTACCTGGAGTCTGTAACGCTTTAAATTGCTGTAATACTCAGAGTTTAATAGACCACTACAATGAAAGGCATTTAAAAAGGGGAAGTGGTAGCAGGAGTTTTATTTATGTTGTAGGTGGGTGAATAGGATGGAACCAGCACCACATTTTAGAATATTTTTTTCTCTATATAGAGTGAAACAAAAAAGACCTGCCAAACTCATTACAGGCAGATAGGCCTATGCAATATACATCAGAGCGCTCTGATTGGTTGTCTTATAAGGGGTGTCTTCCACGTCTTCCAAGCTCAGCCTGAGCCGAGCCCCTGTGGATTTTTTTATTTTCTCATCTGTTTGTTTTTGTTTTTTGTGATCCTGTTTTTATTTTTTTATTATCAAAGCAAC